ATGGCCAGGTAGAAAAAATTGTTCGAAAGATAAAAAGTTGGACCATTTAAATTTTTTGATTTACTTACAAACCAAGAATCCGTTCACCTGTTATTTAATATTAGCAAAATACAGAGTTATTCCCACTCTGACCTCATTTTTCTCTGAATACGTGTGTAAGCATATTTTTTCGAGCATACATTTGAAAATTGGTTTTCAAAGCCAATAAGATCTGTAAGAATTCATCGAGGTACATTTTAGCTGTAGCACAGTGTTAATAAATGTCATTTGGCAGACAGAAAAACGAAATTATGATGGAAAAGATTTACAGTAAGCCGCAAATGTCAACTTAACAGTGCAAATTAAAATAACAGTTGATAAAGGCACAAGCAAACTACACGTGTTTACTTTTTTTTGGTGTTGCTGTGCACAACCAGAAATTTATTTCAAGAACTGCATAAAGGGATGCTACGCTGGGGTCAGTCCAAAAAGCTCTAGCCTAGGCACTACAAATTCGGTCCTTACGCACAGCATGTAGAGTATAGAATAATAATCTCATGTTAGTTACTAAAGCGGTACAGGTACGCATAACAAGACTTGAGGAAAATGTATTGGTTAGGGGAAAAGGGTGTATTATATTCGTCGGAAATTATATAGCAGTTAGAATGAAGCGTTTGCGACCCTATAAAGTATATAACGGTGGTTTTTAATAAGAGACCTACAAAATGTTGTTATCTTGAAAACAAACTTTAAAACAAAATCGGTTTGAGATATCAATTAAATTTAATTTGCGATCCACTAAATACTAAATATACGTTGTACATTTTTTGCTTTCGTCACGCCGCATGTCAATATTCGTCAACATGCCTGTGTAGGCAATTAGCTGTACGATTTTGATGAAGCGTGCCGAATGAGACAAATTTAGAAAGTTTATTTCATTAGTAGATCAATACAAAAGTTAATATAATATATACTTATGTATGTTGAAGGTCCGATCGTCACCAGTTTTTTGATAGCAAAGTCTATCAAAAATCGGTGATAATTCTTATAAATTAGAAGCTGTTCTTGAAGTTGCTCCATAGTACCAAATTAAATTATGATTTGAGTTCTTTACTTATGAATATTTATTCGCAATGTATGAAAGCTTTCGATTCTCTTCAAATCACGGCGAATTTGACCCCACTTTGTGTAGACTTCACGCAAGTAACCTAAAAGGACGAAAGAAAATCAGTCGAATGAGAGTGTGGCAGCACAAGAGAGAGATGGATAGCGAAGTCTACACAAAAGCTTGCCCAAGGGTATTACTTGGGGTTGAAACATTAAAATGAAGGCAAGGCAGGTTTAATTGAATTTAAGTGTCACAATGACACATACCCATGCAACAGGAGAGCAGAGATCCGAAATGCACTATAAAGAGTGTTAATACAATTAAATTCCAAAATGATCCGCTCCGAAGCTGCATTTAAGCTTAGGTTTTCCATGAATAGCCAAGTAATTCGTGCTGCCCCAATAATACAAATTGCAAATGCAATCAATGTCAAACACCCGAAAACCGAATGCAAATACAGACACCCAGTAACAATAACAACAATATCGAGGGCGGCGAGACAAAAACATTCCAATGCAATTAGTTCACACACACGCGTGCAGTGACTGTTGCAAAAACCACCACCACTCCAGAGCGATTCCCCGGCCATTTTCACCACGGACGGAGCTTTAATCGCCCCACACACACACACACAGCACGCACACTACCCTCGAATCAGCCAGGATGAAAATAAATACCATTGCATACTGTGGGGCGCTCCTTCTATTTGCTGAGCACATCCGCTTCACTTTCTCTCGCCGCCCATGCGCACTGGGAGCTGCCCTTAGCCGGGGCCTGGACCAATCCGAACCGCTCCTGAAAACTTTATGAGCACGGCCGCCGTCGGCCAATCAGAGCGTTGCACATTTCCAGGCGGGCGCTGCACTCTGCCCCTACAACTGCATGCCGGTAGGCGCAAACGCGGCGCAGGGAATCGAGGAGGGTTCGGTTCGGAGTCCTGTTTGCCGCGCCCAAGTGTCGATTACTGGGATACTCGTTGGTTGCATATCTGTAGGCTCGATTACACGAGAACCCACACCCCCACCCACACCCGGCACTGCACTCGGGCTCGATTCGGAGGTGTTTACTCTGCTAGGTGACAAATTTTCGTGCCAACGCCTGTAAATATGCAGGGATTTTTCCTGCTTTTCACTTCTTTCCCATTCACACTGCAAATCGAGGGTAATTGGGGTCGTTCCCGTCGTTGTGCTGTGTTGATTTTTCGCATTGCATATTTCCAGGCGCCTCTGATTGCTGCTCCTGCCGTCTTCAGAGTCCTTCCTGGCCATTTATGATGACGTTTCCCTCGACCGAGTCGCACGAGTGCCACTGCACTGCCAGCTTGTTTGCTCTGAGGGGTCAGGTCAGCATATTTGCCAAGCAAAATATATTTCTTTCATGCCAAGTGTGAAAATTGTCTTCCTCCGTTGCACTTTTGATTGCCGTTTTCAGTTGGAGTGGCAGGAGAGCGCTCAGTAAGGAGCCGGGGAGAAGGACGGGTCGGGTTGTCGGGCTAAATCAGAGCCTGTGGTTGAAATCGTCGACGAGGCGTTTTCTATAGTTTTTGCGGGAATGGGGCAATCAGATTTCTCCAAAGAATGGAAGCATCTATGGGGTCATATCCCAGACTCGCAGGAACTAGGTTCGATCTTAACCGCTTGAGACATAAGTATTATCTCTACGTGAAAGTAATCTTAGCAAAGTCAACTCAATGTATATATTCCAAGCCTGTAGAAATAATCATTAACACAAAGCATGTCATTGGGCTAAATCTGCCAAGTATATTGCTAGCATTAAAGAACGAGCTTCTCTTAGGGCAGCCCACATAATCCGGATGGCTCAAGAAGCAAAAGTCACACATAAGGACTGTGCCGATGGTCATGGGCCGAGTCTGCATCCTGGCGACCTACAGAAGGGGCAAGTGTCCTATTTGCACAGCCCGCAGCAGGCAGGGCACGTAACTGCATCCGTAAATACATAAGGCAGCACACAGCCACAATCACAGCCGCACAAACACTGGTACCTGGCGCCATGACAGCTGCAAGGACTAAAGCCCCGAGAGGGAATTGAGTTAGAAGAGCCAAAGAGCTTAAAATCAAAAGTCAGGCCGGGCCTATGTAAATAAATGCAATATGCAGGCGGAAAGGGGGAAGGAGAATGGAGAAAGGAGAAAGGGGAAAGGCAGTCAGTCACGGAGTGAAAGCTGAACGAGGGACAAACAGAAGACAAAAGGAGCAAGAAGAGCGAAGGCAAGACATTTATTTGGCCAACACCAGGACCAGGAAGTAGGCACAGACAATGCTGGATGGCGCCTTAGTTTCGACAGACCCGATTCTGATTAAGCGCATAGGGCGACCTCTGACCCCGCCGACCCCGGCGGACAGCCCTCCATCTGTCGCTCTGTCACTCCGTCTGGCCATCAGTCTGTCGCAACCGCAGGAAGGCAAGGGGAAAATTCAGAAAAAAGGAAAACGCCAACAAATGGCTAGGCAGGTCGGTTTTTTGTCTGCCTTTTCCGAGCATTGTTGCAATGAAACGGCGTAAGCAGAATTACGTGCAATTGTTTTCTGCAGTGGTTCGTGCACATAAATGCGGCATCGGGGATTCGGGTGGGGCCCTGCGCTGGGTAAACATAGACACGTTGACTGCATCTAGGATGAGCCCCACGAATGACTGAGTGCCTTGTTGAATGCTCGCAGGAGACTAAGACTGTGGGTACCGCTGCAGCCCGAGGAACCTGCGGGTTAAAGGCTTTAAAGCCTGAAAAACAATTCGACAGTTTTACCCACCGAATTAAAGACAGGTTGTCGAGCTAATGATATGCAGTCTGCATTTCATTTGTTAGGTTACATTCCATTTATCAATCAAATCAGTTTTGAAACTATCTCACAATCAATCAAAAGGTAAAACGATTCCCTTGTTTAAATATAACTTCGCTTCTTCTAACCAGGAACAACGATCTGCGGAATCAGATCGCCACTTATACTACTGACTAACCGGTTACGGGTAGCTATTTGGAATTTGACCGGGCTTATCCAGACTGACAACCCATCTTTTAAGACTTTTATGAATCTTTACACCAGCGGGGATTTCCGTGTGCAGCTTATTAGAAATGCGGTTTTCAATGCTCGATATGTTTAAGTATTCCATGCAAATCGTATTATAATGGCATCGTAGACTTAGCACTTCCAGTGTTTCCTATTGTAGGTAGTATTAAATATGCAGTAGTATTTAATACAAAGTATAAATAGTAGTAGTATTTAATACAAAGCAAGTTAGTGAACAGAAAATTTCTCACAATAGCCAAAAACTTCTGTGAGAATAGCAAAAAGAGTAAAATAATTTTTTTTTTAAATGCCTATGAACTCAATTTGACACGCTGGCCTAATGGTTCCAATTATAAAATGAGTTAAATTCGCCTAAATAAGTAATGTATACAACGTATTCGCTTAATGTGCAGATTACTCACTTGGTCTCGTTAAATATTTTGACTACCACGCTCTGCTGAACAAACATGATCATATCACACAATTTCAATTCTAGAGCAGATATCAGAAAACACCCCTTTTAAAAATATGTTAAAAAGTTGATACCAACGGAAAAATAAAAAAACTGATATAATTGATATCAATCTATTTCGATTTTTATTCAAAATAGACGGCAGTAACATTGAATATGATAATCTAAATAAACGTTCTAAAATGGCCGTTTAAATATGTTTAGCTCCAATCAAAATAATCTGATTGATAAGAAGCTAACATTTAAGTCCCAATGTTTTTGATGTCGACGATGTCAGTAAAAACTCATCCCTCCACCATGAAAGACTTAAGTATTGTGGCGATAGTCGTGGGCCTTACGATCATGCCCACTTCCGTTGTAAATGTTCCAAGATCAGTTCCAAGTCTTAAGTAAAGCAAACTTTAAACGTTTTCAGATGGACAAAGTAATAATGCTGGAGAGTCAGTGTGGAAAGTTTAATCGAAGCTATCTTTCTAATTTTACGCTGCTTGTAAAAAATGGACGGATAAATCTGGAACTGTACTTGCTAAGGGATCTGGTCTCGGGTGTGACAATGGATATGGAGTTCCTTATTAGCATGCAGAACTCCAATAAGTATCAGAAAATTTTTCAATACACTCTGGATATGTGCAATATGCTAGCACAAAAGAGGAATAACATCTTTAAAAAATGGTTCGCAACCTTCTTCGATGCCGGAAACTTCAAAACGTATTGCCCAGTAGAACCAAACGTATACTACCTAAGGAACTACAATTATAACACTCTTTACATCCCAAAATTTTTGTATGCAGGAAAGTACCGAGTGAAGTTTGACATGAATCAGTTAAGGAGTAACAATAAAATCAGAGATTTCGTGGTGGGCTGTGCCTTTGTGGTTGAAATAAAGTAAGCGGAGAACAATTTCCGTAATTTTACAAGTTGCCATCAATTAAAATTAGTTTAGTCTGGCTGGTGGCTGGATGGAAATTTAGTTTAAGCATCATTACACGCTCGACATCAGCATGGACATGTTGAAAGTATTCACTGTTGGCCTTCTTCTTTTTGTTCACGAATTAAGGATCACAAATGCAGTGAGTATTGATTAGTCCAAAGTTAGAGGACCTTTTTCAAACAACCCTTTTCTTTTTGTGGCAAAGTCGTCATTTATTTTCCAGGCAGGGAAGAGCAAATTCAGCACAACGCATTTCGAAAATTTCACGCTGGAAATTAAGAACAACACATTGTATATGGACATGACAACCTTAAAGTCGGTCCACCGAGGCCTCAAGGTCCTCATCGACACCCAGATCAGTCTCGACAAGGGCAAGAGCTACCAACGCCTCTTCGCCCACATTCTGGACACCTGTGCCGTGGTTTCCTCGGTGAGAGCCAACATCTTCAAGAGCTGGTTCGACAGTATGCTGGAGCACGGAAACTTTATGGTCAACTGCCCCGTTCCCGCGGGTCACTACTTTCTGCATGACTGGAAGCTGGACTCGCAGTTGGTTCCACACTATTTGCTTCCCGGGGAATATTGTATCACTGCTCACTTTTTCTATGGGAAGCACAAGTCAAAGCAGGAGGATTTTTTTCTGGACTTGGAAGTCTATGCTCTGCTCAAAGCTACCTAGGTCCACAATTCGATACAGTCAATTGACTTGCGTTCATAAATAAAGCGAAAGCAAAAAGCCAGATCTGAAACAACGAGTTACCATGAAGCGCCATTTCGAAGTAATTTAAAACCAATTAGGGAATCCGGCCCGTGTGCAATCAAATAACAAAACCACCATTGAGAGCAGATTGCCATTGCACTCGGACCTCCGATCGGAAGTACCTATGTTGAAAGTAGCATTTTTCCTTATCGGTGTACTCTTGTCCTGGGCAGAGGTAAGCACGGGTCTGCTAAAAGGACTACCCTAGATAACACATCTGATAAATCTGTACCCGGCAGCCCAGTTCCGTGAGCCTGACTCGCGTCCAGTGCGAGAAGAACTCCAAATTCTTCAGAACCATGAACGTCACGTCTGTGAACAGCACAATCTTCGCGGATATCGAGCTGGTCCAGGCCCTAAAGGCCGGCTTCCGAGGTCACGTTGACGTGCAGCTGCGTCTCAGCAATGCCAAGAAGTTCCAGAGCCTGGTCCAGACCGACACCGACTACTGTGAGCTGCTCTCGACCCTCAAGGACTCGCTCTTCCGGCGGTGGATCAAGAGCGTAACCAAGAACAGCAACTTCATGGAGAACTGCCCGGTTCCGGAGGGGCACTACTACCTCAAGGGCTGGCACGTCGACATGGGTCTGGTGCCCTCCTATCTGCTGAGCGGCGACTACCGCCTGAGGGCCTTGGTCTACTACGGGAAGTACCGCACCAAGAAGCAGCTGTTTCTCGTCCAGTGCATGGTGGAGGCAACAGTGCATATCAAATAGTTAAGAGTCTAACCTGATTTGTGCGAGTGTAATCGTTTGACCGAATAATCAACCTACCGCGCAACTTGAACCGAACAACAAGCCCATTAAATGGCTTTAATTGCTATATACAAAAATCGGTTGTTAGCTGCAATGCTCGCGTTGACATCATCCCGCGATGTATCCCTTTAAGCTTGCGCCCATTGTTCTGGGCTGGATCGTTGTAACTGCTGTCATACGGCAAGGCGTGGTAAGTCGTAGAGTTCTTTCTCGTGGGCTCTTTTGAGAATCTGCTAATTAGGCCCCCAGACTGACTTTCAAGGCCGGCGACTGCAGGTACGACAGATCGGTTTTCTCCAACTTTACCATCCAAATTATCAAAACCAAAGTGATGATGGACATGATTTTGGTCACCACTTTGCGGCAGGGCCTTAAGGCGCACTTGGACTTCGAGTTTCGTCTTTCTAAGGGCAAGCCCTATCAGAGTGTTTACCAGCACGACATGAACTACTGTGCCCTCATCAAGGGCTCCCAGGAGTCGATTTATCGGCGATGGTTCAATTCCATGTTGAAAGTGGGAAACTTTGCAACGAGCTGCCCAATAAAGGGGGGCTACTACTACCTGCATGGCTGGACCCTGGATGCGAACTATGTGCCCTCCTTTCTCTATCTGGGTGACTACCGAATCGGCGGATCGTTCTTCTATGGCAGGTTTAAGAAGCAGTCGGACAATCCCCTAGTGGAGTGCAGTGTAGAAGCCGTGCTGAACTGAAGCTGTGAGGGGTTATGGTGGCGAACGATCACCAAGTTTACAATTGATAGTCAGGCTCCAATAGGCTGGATAATTAATATATTTTGCAAACTCGAAAACATTTATTGAAACAGTTCCCTTGATTTTGTGATCAGAGATGGCTCGGCCCATGTGGGTCTTGCAGCTGGTAAGGCTGGAGATTCTGGCCATATTTCTGTTCCCTGTCAGGTCGGTGAGTAGTCTATGGTAGTCACTCACTGCTGCGGGTTATCACGAGATCCAACTTGCGTCTCCCAGGAACGCAGCATCAAGTTCATAGCCGGCGAGAGCAGGTTCAACCGGGACTATTTTGAAAACTTCACATTTACCATTCGCAATGACAAGATCTTCCTGGATATGTACTTGCGCAAGCCACTGCTCAGAGGATGGAGGGCCAGGTTGGACTTCAGGACTCGAATGGGAAACTCGAAAAGCTTTCAGAGCCTCTTCTCTACCAATGTCGACGTATGCAACATTGTGAACGCGGTCAAGATCAACCTGTTCAAGAAGTGGTACAAGAACCTGCTCAAGTACGGAAATTTCCTCCGCCAGTGTCCCCTGAACGCCAGCCACTACTACCTGAGGGGCTGGCAGTTCGGGGAGGGCTTGGTGCCACCGTTCATAACAAGTGGATCGTACCGATTGGAGACCTACAACTATTTTGGGAAGTACAAGGGCAAAGACGAGGACTTCATAATGAGTTGCACGGCCGATGCTGTCATACATATCTGAGGCACTGATGGCGATGGCTAATGGTTTGGAAATAAACACATCATGTTCGCGACCGTAGTTTGTGATTGATTTAGAGGGCTTTCATTTGAGTTTCATCATGGGCACTGAGATGTGGAAATTGCTTGTCTTGTCCGTTCTCATTCGACTGCCTTCCCAAATCGATCTCGTCGAGGGGGTAAGTCAGCCTCTAGCCCCAGTTGCAAAAGCTCTCCAGAACAGCTTTCTTTTAGGAACGCAGTGTACAGTTCCTCACCGGCAATTGCAGCTATAATCCCAAGTATTTTAAAAACTTCTCGATGACCATAGTTAACAACATGATGAATGTAGACATGTATCTGAACAGACCCATTCAGTGGGGCTTCAAGGCCCACATGGACATTCTGTTACGTCTTGCCAACGCCAAGAACTTTCAGTCCGTGTTCAGCCAAAAGACCGACTTGTGCGCCACAACATCGAGTGTGAAGAACAGCCTTTTTAAGAGCTGGTTCAAGGATATGAGCAAGCATGGTAACTTTATGTACACCTGTCCAGTTGAGGTGGGACATTACTACCTACACCAGTGGCGCATGGGGAGCTCCATGACCCACAAGTTTCTTATCCCTGGTGAATATCGCGGAAAGGTAACCTACTTCTACGGCAAGTATCGGACTAAATCGTTTGATGAGACATTGAAACTGACGATTGACGCGATCCTATCCAATTAGACTCATATCAATTGAGGCAATATCAAATAATCAATGTAAATAAAGTGTTTCAAAGTCAAAATTACTTAATTTGGTAATTATCCAATAGAATAACTATTTACACCCACATACGCATAAATAAATTTGTTATTGTCTGGCTCTGAGGTCATTGCTTTGCTTCTTGGGAAGTTTGTAGGCGTTAGAGGGCGTGGAAAACTTTTCTTAGTGAAATCGGTAGGTATTGACGAGACCAATACATTTTTGTTTAGCATCAAAACTGTGATTGTCGCAGTTGTTCGCGGTTTGAGGGCGTTAAAGTGGTCGTTGCACAATTGCGTAACAAATTTGCGCTGCGTACGAAGGTAAAGAATCTAAATCTGAAAACCCAACATTCTAGTTTTAATAATTTCCGAAATGTCAATGTCCATACGCACAATTTTTTTACATTTCTGGGTGGCTTGTGGACGTTACAGTCGGCGTGGCATCATTTTTATACCCTTGCGGAGGGTATTATGATTTCAGGCAGAAGTTTGTAACGCACTGAAGAAGACGTTACCGACCCCATAAAGTATATATATTCTTGATCAGCATCACTAAAGGAGTCGATCTAGCCATGTTCGTCTGTCCAGCCGTTTCTACGCAAGCTAGTCTCTCAGTTTTAAAGCTATCGGGCTGAAACTTTCCCAAAAGTCTTATTTCTTTTGCAGGTAGTATATAAGTCGGAACCAGCAAGATCGGACAACTATATCTTATAGCTCCAATAGGAATAATGGGAAAATAAATTTTTTTTTTAGTTATATCTTTGGTGTTTTTTAACATATAACCTCCTACGCTTGGAAATAACATTTTTAATTAGTTTTGAATTTCGAATTTAATTTTATCAAAATCGGACGACTATATCATATAGCTGCCATAGGAACAATCGGAAAATTGGTGGGAAAATAATATGAAAAAAATTATAGCTTCGGTGTTCTTATTGACATATTATCTTATGCTATTGAGAATACCATTATTTGTATGTTAAAGAATTTTGAATTAAATTTACTAATTATAACTGCAAGGTATACAAACTTCGGCTTTCCGAAGTTAACTTCCTTTCTCGTTTTAGGACAATCTAGCATTATAACTGGGGGCGCTACAGTAGGCGTGGCACTTTTATGAAACAAACTTGCGTTGTCCCAGAATCTTAAAAATCTGCTCACTTAACCCCAACATTGTAGCTTTAATAGTTTCTAAGATCACAGCGTTCATAAGGACGGACGGACAGACAGACAGACGGACATGGCTAGATCGACTCGGCTAGTTTATACTTATGGGGTCGGAAACGCTTCCTTCTACCAGTTACATACTTTCCGACGAGTTTAGTATACCCTTTTACTCTGCGAGTAACGGATATTAAAATAGTGATCTGCGATATATCGCTAGAAAAAAATTAAAATGAAATAGTTTTTAAGTAAAAAATACACAATTAATAATTTCTTAACTTGTATTTGACGACACTACTGTGAGCCATGCTTAAGAAATTTGTTTTTGGATATGAACTGAACCTTTACCCGGAGTGCAGATTTTGGATAAAGTTCATTGAAAATTATGTTTGTTCCAATATTCCTAAAATATTTCGTATATTATAATAACATGTAGAACGAATAAAGGAATTTAGAGAATATAATATTAAATGTGGTCACTACTCTTTGATCAAGCTATGGATAGTGAACCTCGTAAAGATCGAGTTGACATCTAGTCAGTCCCAATAAATATTTAGTTATGATCTCAACCACCCCTATTATTTCCAATCCTACAACAAAAGCCAAAAAACGTTCTTCTTAAAGTAGTCACATAGTAGTCACTCGAGTGGGAAACTCGAAAAGCTTCCAGAGCCTCTTCTCTACCAATGTCGACGTATGCAACATTGTGAACGCGGCCAAGATCAACCTGTTTAATAAGTGGTACAAGAACCAGCTCAATTACGGCAACTTCCTCCGCCAGTGTCCCTTGAATGCCAGCCACTACTACCTGAGGGGCTGGCAGTTCGGGGAGGGCTTGGTGCCACCGTTCATAACAAGTGGATCGTACCGATTGGAGACCTACAACTTTTTTGGAAAGTACAAGGGTAGAGCCGAGGACTTCATAATGAGTTGCACGGTCGATGCTGTCATACATATCTGAGGCACTGATGCCGATGGCTAATGGTTTGGAAATAAACACATCATGCTCGCGACCGTAGTTTGTAATTGATTTAGAGGGCTTTCATTTGAGTTTCATCGTGGGCACTGAGATGTGGAAATTGCTTGTCTGGTCCGTTCTCATTCGACTGCCTTCCCAAATCGATCTCGTCGAGGGGGTAAGTCATCCTCCAGTCCCAATTTTAAAAACTCTCCAGAAAAGCTTTCTTTTAGGAACGCAGTGTACAGTTCCTCACCGGGAATTGCAGCTATAATCCCAAGTATTTTAAAAACTTCTCGATGACCATAGTTAACAACATGATGAATGTAGACATGTATCTGAACAGACCCATTCAGTGGGGCTTCAAGGCCCACATCGACATTCTGTTACGTCTTGCCAACGCCAAGAACTTTCAGTCCGTGTTCAGCCAAAAGACCGACTTGTGCGCCACAACATCGAGTGTGAAGAACAGCCTTGTTAAGAGCTGGTTCAAGGATATGAGCAAGAATGGTAACATTAGGTACAACTGTCCAGTTGAGGTTGGACATTACTACATGCACCAGTGGCGCATGGGGAGCTCCATGACCCACAAGTTTCTTATCCCTGGTGAATATCGCGGAAAGGTAACCTTCTTCTACGGCAAGTATCGGACTAAATCGTTTGATGAGACATTGAAACTGACGATTGACGCGATCCTATCCAATTAGACTCATATCAATTGAGACAATATCAAATAATCAATGTAAATAAAGTATTTCAAAGTGAAAATTACTTACAAATTACTAATTTGGTAATTATCCAATAGAATAACTAGTTACACCCACACATGCATAAATAGATTTGTTATTGTCTGGCTCTGAGGTCATTGCTTTTCTTCTTGGGAGGTTTGTAGGCGTTAGAGGGCGTGAAAAACTTTTTTTAGTTCAATCGCTAAGTATTAACGAGATCAATACATTTCAGTTACATTTTTTTTTTAGCATAAAAACTGTGGGCTCCACACTTGTTCCCGGTTTGAGGGCGTTAAAGTGGTCGTGTGCGTAACAAATTTGCGCTGCGTACGAATCTGAAATCCCAACATTTAAGGTTTAATAGTTTCCGAAATATCAATGTTCATACGCACGACTTTTTTACATTTCTGGGTTGCTTGTGGACGTTACAGTCGGCGTGGCATCATTTTTTTTAGGTCAATCTAGCATTAAAACTGGTGGAGCCACAGTTTTGGGCGGCTTGCGGGCGTTAGAGTAGGCGTGGAACTTTACTGAAATAAGTTTGCGTTGTCTTAGAATCTTTAGAATCTGCTCACTTAATCCCAACATTATAGCTTTTATAGTTTCCGAGAACACAGCGTTCATACGGACGGACAGACAGACAGACAGACGGACATGGCTAGATCGACTCGGAAGGTTTATACTTTATGGGGTCGATAAAGCTTCCTTCTACATGTTACATACTTTCCGACGAATATAGTATACCCTGCGATACATCGTTAAAAAAAATGAAAATGAAATAGTCTTTGTGTAAAAAATACACAAATAATAATGTCAACTTGTATTTGACAACACTACTGTGAGCCATTCCGAAGAAGTTTGTTTTAGGATATGAACTAAACCTTTAACCGGAGTTAAGATGTTAGATCAGGTTCAATAAAAATTATGTGCTTTTCAATATTCCAACCATATTTTGGAAATTATAATAATATGTAGTAATAATAATGGAATTTAGAGAATATAATATTAAATGTGGTCACTACTTTTTGATGGAGCTATGGTTATTCAAGCTCGTACAGATTGATGTGGGAAGTCCCAATAAATATTCATTTAGCATCTCGACCACCCTATGGTTTCAAATTCTACAATAAACGACGTAAAGCGCTGTTCTTAAAGTAGTCACATTAATTAATAACATGCCAGGGGCAACGAAAAACTGAAACTTTATCGGGATGTGTACGCAGTGCAATGATGATGTTAACAGCTTCCGCACTCACGCGGCGATAATCGAATGGTTACTGCCTTCTTCACACTGCTCAGGGAGCGTCTGCAACGGATGATAGCAGCAATTTTATGGCGAGAAATAATAATATCCTGAACAAGGCTGCAACATGTTGCACGGCAAAACGTTTGCGTTGATTATCGATGCAGCAAAGGAGCAGAAGAAGACATTGGAGCATTCAATTTAGCACGAATGTCCTTAGTGTCACACTGGGATCGCAGATGTCGCATGCAGCAAAAGAAACCGTAAAGGAAACAAAGGGAAAGGATACATTAGACATCGTCTGCCAACGGTCTGCATAACATGTGACTTTGTGTTGGGAGCGTTTGACTTTATTGCTTCCTAATTGCCGCCCGATGCCTTTTGTGTTCCGCGTCCTCGGTCTTCTTCCTTGGTGGTCCGGTCATAATGTGCTTTTACACACTGGCGCACCCAAAGTGATTTGCCCCAGGCCTCGTGCTCGCCAATTTGTTCGGAGTCCCGCTGGTATAATTATAGGTTGTGCGGTGATGATTGCGCCCCTCTACAGCGCATCCCCCGGATACACTCCTCCCACATGCGGCTCCTGGTCCTGACAACGCCGGCAGGCATGTCGGATGACTAATGAGTGTGGGCCAGGGAACGAGTGAAAGTCAGGTGAGCTTTCCTAATTAGTTCAAACGCCCAACCAGCCATGTAATTGGGGCCTCTGAAGTAAGCCAAAGAATGGCTTGCAGATGATTTAATTTATAGAAAACCAATGGGGCCGGGACAAAGCTTATAAGTCTTGGCAGGCCAAGGCGATCCCTTTGCAAATCAATTTCATGGCAAACAAACATTAAACGTTATTTAACACAAAGCAGGGCAACTGCGACAAGTATAATGATGGCAATTTCCTTGAGTACACGACGCCACTTCTTCAGTTATCCGCCCCTGCCCCGCTCCTCCCCAGTTTCCCCTGCATTTGTTTCAAAGAAGCTCCGACTGCACTGGTCTGGCGTTTGTTCTTCCTGGTTCCGACAAAATACAAGAAATTGCTCTCTGCCCCCACTCCAGCGGCGGAAGTGCAATTGATGGCAAATACGACGAGGAAAGCCATCCTTGGCATCCTTGGGATCCTTGGGAGCGCGTGCGAACGTGTCGAGAGGAGCTGGACCGAGGACGAGCCGGGGAGTCGGGGATGCGGGGATTCGGGGGCAACTTGTCGGTGGAAAAATACTTTGTCCCCAAACTATTATTGACAGTGTTTAAATTATTTTGCGCTTAGGGAGCGCACTCGTATAAATCGCAGCTTGCAGCGCGGCCAGCCACGTTCCGGGCTCAAATCTGTGTCCGCATCCGTGTCCTTGTTGGAGGACTCATTAATTTATTTATGCGAAATGCACGTGCAACGATTTACCCGATTGGAAGTGAGAAATTGTGTTAGCCAGTGGAGATTTGAGCTCTTCAATGATTCATTGCTTTTTAATGTGACCAGTTGCGCCGGCTTCCAGTGCCCCCTCCACACAGACCTGGTCCCATTCACTTCATTTTGATGTCCATATAGAAGGTTGTTTCTGTCAAATTGTCGCCGTTCCAGTCTCTCACATAGACGTTGGAGTCTATCCGGAAGCTGCCCGAGCGGATGAACCGCGGAATGGTCTCCTTCTCCGAGCGGATGTTGCACATGTAGTAGTTGCCCTGCAGGGGTATATTAAAGTGAGGTCAGGCTGTTCGATTGGAAAGAATAGGGTACCTCCTTAAGGGGACAGCTACGCGGCATATTGGACTGCCGCATAATGTTGTTCAGCCAGAAGTTGATCAGGCTGTTGCCCTTGCCCCTGCCCATCACCTTGCAGAGGTTCACATTGTAGGTGAAGACGTCTCTGTAGGAGTCTTCGCCCTTGGACACCCGCTGCCCCATTGTGGCCCTCAGCCATATGTCCGCTGTGATGTTCCGTGCCAGGTTCAGGGTGAAGTTGATCGTTGTGCGGTCCTCACTTATCGCTGCCTCGTACAGCGAAACGTACTTGCTGTTGTAGCCGGTGACAGTCTTCCGGAAGAGCAGAAAATTCAGGGACTGAGGGGGGTCATTGAAGAATACGGTGTGCTGATGTCTGCCAGATCTCACCTTATGGCCTGCAAGAAATCTGCAGACTGAACAGAGGACCAGTCCCAGAAGAAATGCTCTACGGATCGCCAACATTGTTCGCTGTGGGCCCCAATGCACCTGATTGAACTCGATCAAGCCCACACTGCTTTGGTTCTGGGGGACCCATTAAAACCCCATCAGTTTCCCATTTGCGGAACACCTCATCTTGATCTGCTCGTGTCGAAACTTCAATATCGGGAAAGGTCGGTGTCCGCTAATGAAACTGGAGATCCACTCAGGTGGCTCTCAGAACGAGCCTCTCAGCGTAATTAAATCGCGGAATTGTTCAGAAGTTTGCCCAACCGACTCGGCCCATCCCCATCCACGGCTGCCCATATAATTTTCTAGGGACTGACGCTAAAAATATGATAAATTGCCGCTTAACGGGCAGCTGCAGTTGCCCACCCGACAAGGCAGCATAAATTCAAAAAGAGCCGCTATTTGCTGCTAACCAAATCTTAATTATAAATCTAAAGGAAGCACTTGCAACCGAAAAAAGGACGAAGAAATTACCGCAAGCGCAGTGCGCCGAAGGGTGTCTGGAGGGGGTAGAGCGGGTAGAGGGGCTCGGAGGGAAATGATGATTTAATAGAATGGTCTGCGGGCACCGCCAGCTGGCTGCCGTGTCCTGCCGGCTGAGCCGAATGAATGGGAGCCGAGGAGCCGTGGGTGGAGCAGGCGGAAATGACTCCATAAGCTGCTGCAACCATAAACCGGAAGTTAACAGACTTTCGCTGATGTGGCACTTTCGTGGCGCTGCTGCAGGACACCAGGACACCAGGGCTCTGAAAGGACATCGGGACTCAGCCGACACGCTCGGCGGGCAGTCTGCGAAATTGTGACAGCGCATGGCCGCAGGATAATCAAATAATTTTTTCTCTGCCTTCTCCTATCCTGTCCTTCGCCGAAGGACCTCGCCTTTTTTGCGAATTTTCTCTGGAACTGCTCCTGCTGGCTCGTTAAATTATTGTTGCAACATTGCCACAAAATGCTAATTGCCGCATACGATACGATCGAGGCGACTCGGTTCTTCGTCTGGTTCGTTTTTGGGACCGGCGAACTTTACCGAATTGCAACTGTCATTGATTTTGCCTCATTTTGACAGTTTCCATTTTCTCTGCTGTTTTTTGGGGCTGCTGCTCGGCGCTTATCGCCATCTGTCAAAGGCCGGCAAATTGCATTGGCTTACACATTAATAAATCACCCTCAAAATGTCGGCCAAAAGTTTTCCCAACGGGCCAAAGGTGCGCCAGTTAGGAGGCACTTTGGACTGTGAAGTTCTTTAAACTGCAGTTGATAACGGATGGTCGGCTTGTTTTGCCAGTGACTCTACAGCTATTAAAATATTTATCATTTACCGACACAACAATTGGGAATTGCACGCTCAATTTTATGTGCAAATGTTTACGCGCGAAGGAATTCGAACAACACGGATAATTGCAAATGATTCGGAAGAGCTACATGAAACGCACTGCAAATTAGGGTCATTCAGGGAGTTAATTCTGTGTTGTACAATGCACATTGGGCGACGACCTTAGCCGGGCTGGCGAAGAACCAAGTGGAGGACTCCGAATAGCTGTCATCAATCCCCTTCCCGCGCACTTCCACTTGGGAACATTCTTAAACACGTCGGAGCAGCCCTGAATGGATTGCCAAGCAGGGACGCCTGCTGCTCGGAATGAAGACGATGATTCCGTTGATTTGAATTGTGATTAAAATGCAGCGTATAATTTCCGCCCGCTTCCCCGGACCTGCTCCTGGCTCCCAGTTGCCAGGTCCCAGCTCCCAGCTCCTGGTTCCTGTTCACTGGGCGTCTGAGGCGCTGTCTCCGAGTTGGCAGCATGTGCGCCCAAGGAGCGGGAGCCCCAGAAGAAGTTTTGTGCCTCGCTTCACACTTTGTCTGACTGTGCACAAATTCCTCGGAGAAGAATGCGGCGACGTGGGGCGGGAAGTTGAAGAAAAATTGCAAAAACCGCAACTCGTGTCGACTTGATGTTAGAATAATGAAGAGGCAAAACTTTTGCGCAAGGCATGTAATTTTTCGCAGTGACAGCCGGCCGTAGCCCCATTCCCGTTCCCACTCTGCCAAGCACCCCCTACTTCCCCCACCGGAACCGGAAGTTGTCATTCGTTTTGTGCATTTGTTAAAAAGTTACAGCTGGAAACAGGGAAAAACGCAGAAAACAAAGCCACAACAGGACGAAACAGAACTGCATGGAAACTGCTGTCGTAGGATCTCGTTTGCCCGCGCTGCAGTCCCGCCTTTCTTAATTTTCCTTCTGCTAGGCCTAACACTTGGACGGACCCTGGCCAGGACCCCTGGCCACCCACCCCGCATAAATCACGACGGCCAGTCCAGACAGACCAAGAGTCAGGACCGAAAGGCCGCGTAATAAATGCGAACAATGACACAATTGATTGGCCAATTACGTGCGCTTCGGGGTGATTATGACGTTACGTACCGTTAGCCGACGCACATCAGGCCCATTCGGACTGCCGGACGTGGAGCGGTGGGTGGGCCGTGGTCCTGGGTCCTGGGTCCTGGGGTTGGGGGTCCTGGGGTAGGGCCTGTCATGCCTGGCTAAATTTACACAATTAAATGCGTGAAATTCGTTTGAATAATTGAGCAATTTTTCGGACACTGCGTGGCGATGGGGAATCAATGGGCATGGGGGACTTTAAGCGGGCATTGCTTTAAGGGGCCACAAGACTGCCCAACTAAGGCAATGATTGATTAAATCGGAAGCGCATATGGGGCTTTTTGGACGCTGCAATAAAATATGCAACCGAAAACTCGACTGCCAGCGAGATAAAGTTGCCTTGAATTCAAGTCTGCGCCAGAAAAAACGCCGAGAATGGCAACTTTATGGCCAGTGGTCGAGAGCCGGTCGAAGCCGCAGCTAATTTATTTGCAGGCCGGGCCATTTATGCGACACAGCAACACGGCCACGACCGGAGGAGCAGCAGCAGGACCAAGCACTTCATTGTGCAGTGGCTCGTTTAAAACGCTGATTCAGTTTCATCATTAACCAGATTAATATGGCAGGGCGAAGCCTCTGACAGCCCTCGGATCTGAGGACCCGGGCCGCGAACTCCGAACCCGTAACCCCTTCTCGATGGCAATCGATGCGGATGCGGCGAGCCATGTTCTAGTCATTGCCCAGCCAAACGATGGCCATGTGGTCGTCCATTGCAGGGCACTTGAAGTTTATCGCTGTGCAGGGAGGCGCCACGCGGCGTATGCGCAATATTCGAGGACATGAATTTTTATGCGCCTCCAGTGAGTGCGCAGGGATCGGTTGCAGGCCGAGGGGATTTCGGCTAATTTGTCCGTCACATTACGCCGGCTAATTGCGCATGGAAATGGATATGGTTTAGTCCGTCGGTGATGGTGGCCGGAATGCAAGCTCAATTTGGGACTCCATCGATGGCACAGCTTATCGAGTATATGATGATTTACCCGCTCCCGCCGTCGCTGCTTTGCCAGGTTATGGATCCCGATCCAACCACTCACTCCCATCACTTCCCGCCCTGATTGCAATTGCAGGATATTTCCTGCTGCTTACTTTTCGGCTGCGACCCAAGCCAACAGTTTATTTAGTGTCTCTGGCAGCAGCCGCGTGGAATTGTGATAATATTTGCCAGGAAAAGTATTTACATTTGACTCAAAGTTGGGCGCCGAGGCAGTTGGCGTTCCTCGCAGGGGCGCGCCCGGGCAGAAAAGGCGCTGAAAGGGGGCTGAATGCCAGAGGAGCAGGAGGGGTTAGCCTGATGCCTGCCACGCAATCACAGTTTTCGACATTTTGCGAAATTGTATCGGCGTCGAAGTTTTCTTTGCTGCTTACTTGTTTGTTGTTGCTCGCTCGTTTTTTTCGAGAGAGCTTTGCGCGAAATAAGAAAAGTTTTCCTTTATTTAAACAAATTTTTGGCGCAGACATGCGTGGCAACTCTTTTAAAGTTTCCGAGCCGGGAATACTTTTGACAAAAAGACAGAGCCGGGGGATCGGTCAAAAGAATTGTTTCCGCTTTCCGCAGGAAGAAACTCCTAGCCCGGCCAATTGGCATTAGCCCGGAGATCAGAGGCATCCCCCACGGCTCAACCCGCCTCAAGTGGTCTAATGTGCCGGGAAGCGACTGCAACTCGTTAGCCTGGAAAAATATCATCTAATAAGGAGGCGGACGCGGGCTCCTGGGTCTCGCCGAGGGACGGACAGACAAGGCGACCAATTAAATTTCACCCGCATCAATAATCATGAAAGCAAAAATTGCCAAAAGCCTGGCGTGCCTATGAAAAAATCCGTCCTACCCTCTGCATAAAGCGAGTACATCCAGCGGAAATGCCACATAAAACGAAAGCGCGAAATTAAACGGCGGCGAGGGAGGAGCAGGTGGATGCCACCGGTCCTCGGCAGACTTGAAGTCGACAAGCGTGTAAATGATATAAATTCAATTTAATAAAATTGTTAAAATCGCAACGACGAACGGAACGAGCTGTGGAAATACTTTGCGCGCAGGTGAGCTGAAAATTGCTGTGAAATTTTAGTGCCCGGGCGAGGAAGTCGCTCCCAGGACTGCCTTGGATCGGCGGAAGGCGAGGCGGAAATACGCGTGAAAATTCCTAGCAATTATTTCACACAAAGTACAGCAGTGAGAGTCTCATTCTCAGTCGCAGGAGCCGCAGGAGCAGGAGCAGGATGGTAGTAGCGTGTCCTGTCGCCTCCGCGTCTGGCTCAGCGACTTTTCCGTCGTCATCGAGCATTGTGTTGTCAGTTCGGGGATAGCTGGAGGACTCGAGGAGGGACTGGGAGGTCGACCCAGACGGAAGCTCTCGACCAATACGGCTTTGATAGCATTTTAAGCGGCTTGCGTGGGTTTTATTCTCTCGCCTTAATGTCACGATAATCGCATAATTTCAGTCCCCTGGACACTTTACAGGATGGCGAGAGGGTTGGCCGCCCTGGAGCTGAGGAGTTCCGTTCCCTCGGCCTATTAAGACGACTGACAGCACTTCCGCTCCTTCCGGCATATTGCATATTACTTTCCGTCTAAATCGT